GCTGCTGGCACCGCCTGGTACTATCTGCACAAATAAATTTATTTGTTAGATCTGTTGGTGCTTATATGTATGTATATTAGACTGCATTACCAAAAAAGTTGCGGTTTTTCTGCCGGGATTACAAAATTTGNCGCTGCTGGCACCGCCTGGTACTATCTGCACAAATAAATTTATTTGTTAGTATCTGTTGGTGCTTATATGTATGTATATTAGACTGCATCACCAAAAAAGTTGCGGTTTTTCTGCCGGGATTACAAAATTTATTACATTTTAAGACGTCCACCAAAATATTTCGGAAAAATATTAAGATTTAAGCGAGCTGGACCGAATTGAAAATACCTAAAAAAATGGAGTTTTTTATGAATAAAAATAGTTTCTTAAAGAATATTTTGAAAAAAGTCGCCACAGATTACAAAACAGACTAGGCTTAAAAATATGCATAAAAATATTTAAAAAAAAAAATACAAAAAAAATTAACGGAATCGTAATAGTGAGTGGTTGTGAGTNTTTTTTTTTTGTATGGGGAGTGATGCAGTCTAATGTATATGTATGTATGTTCATTGCATTCACCATTTACCAAATAAATCTTATTATTGCTAGGCAAAAAGCTCTTTGAATGCTGCCTGCCACTCGCGTTGCAATTACTTTTGTGAGGATAAGAATCATCATTGTCGACGTGAGGAAACACGAAAATGCACTCAGCGGTGAGGGTGGTATGGCATAAATATACAAAGACATATGTTCATAAGGTTGCATCTACATACATATCTATATCGAAAGTTCTAACACGCCTACATACATATGTATGTATGTATATCTATTATATAATTTGAATACCTCCTGGAAAACATACATTTTCACATCTAATCACTTCCTTTTCCACTCGGTAGCAACTATTGTACTTTGTGTACTCGATTTCTTGCAAATGGGCGACAATAAAACGTGAACGTAATGTACACTGAGAGGAATATTTAATATACATTTGTATTGCAATAATAAGCNTTTTTTTTTTGTATGGGGAGTGATGCAGTCTAATGTATATGTATGTATGTACATTGCATTCACCATTTACCAAATAAATCTTATTATTGCTAGGCAAAAAGCTCTTTGAATGCTGCCTGCCACTCGCGTTGCAATTACTTTTGTGCGGATAAGAATCATCATTGTCGACGTGAGGAAACACGAAAATGCACTCAGCGGTGAGGGTGGTATGGCATAAATATACAAAGACATATGTTCATAAGGTTGCATCTACATACATATCTATATCGAAAGTTCTAACACGCCTACATACATATGTATGTATGTATATCTATTATATAATTTGAATACCTCCTGGAAAACATACATTTTCACATCTAATCACTTCCTTTTCCACTCGGTAGCAACTATTGTACTTTGTGTACTCGATTTCTTGCAAATGGGCGACAATAAAACGTGAACGTAATGTACACTGAGAGGAATATTTAATATACATTTGTATTGCAATAATAAGCCAAAAATTAAAAAGAAACTAAGCAGCAGAACAAAGTGAGATGAGCCTTTTGATTAATTGGTTTAATATGATTATATCGGTATCGGAATTTTACGGTATCCTGCGACCTTAGCCCTGTAACTAAATTGTTAAGTTTTCGATTGATTCATGTTGGTAGGTAGACTTGGGTCTAACGTTGAAGGCCTTTTTCGATAATACGACTACGTAAGTTTCACTCCCTCTTGCTGAGCAATTGGGCGTCAATAAAAGGCGACTCCAGAAGACACAATCTGCTCCTAGATAAGTGCCAGACAGTGCCAGACAATGCCAGGGAAGATGAAGAGCTGTCTAGTGAATATAAGAAATGGTACTCCTAGCCCATGATTTAATAATTAAAGGTTTGCACAGTAGTGACTGGAAAAGTTAATCCCGGGATCCCGGCCTTTTTTAGGTCTTGAAAATCCCAGCTCATTATACATATAACACCGTGCAATAGTAACTTTAACACGCAAAAGTCAATATATTCGCGAAACCATTGGCCAAATATAGTAAAATCTCATTTTTAGTTTTTCACTCTGACGTCGGTAATTCAAAAATGATTTAAAAAATTCAGTAAAATGTGCTTAGAGAAGAAGTATAGGTATCAAATTAAAGCGGAAATTCTGTAGAATTTAAAGAGATTCAATATTTTGGTGCATAAGAACTGGTAAGTATTGAAAATGTCCTTTTACAATTTTATGCTTGAAATTTAGCAATAATTGTTTTTGAAAAAAATTATATGTTATGTACATAAACTCAATAACACCCTCGAATTTCATCCATCTAATTATATTAGCTTAAAAAGTAACCTATTCCTCCTTGTGAATCCAAAAAATTTTATTTTTTTTT